GCCCGGGAACGCCCCGCTGGAGTGCTCCCTTGGCCTTCACTCCCCGCAACGGCCTCTGAGGCGGGCTCCACTCTCGCCTGCCCACCTCCAGTAGGAACGTGCTGGGCTCCTCAACTCCAGGAACGCGCCGGTGTGGCGTCCGCAGCCTCTGGGATCTGCTCCTTGGAGTACGGCTTCCTGGGCCGCCGGGCTCCTCCTGCGGACGACCCGGATGCTGAAGCGGGGTGCACGGGGCGACTGCTCAGCCTCCCCTCGCTGAGCTCCCCGGCAGGCGGGAGGGAGGAAGACTGGGGGGAGGGGGGGGGCGCAGACGAGGCCCCACCACAGGCCCTTGACATTGAAAGAGGACGGTGTCACCCAGGTGGAGCATGGTGCCGGCCGGCCGTCTGTGTGCAGTCCCCCCTTCACCTGACACTGGTAGAAACCACCACTTGAGGATGGAAGGGAGGAAGCAGTCAAGCCCTGCACGCACTTGCTCCCATTTCGCATTTCACTCCCAGGCTTAAGAGAATTTTTCTGTTTGTAATCAAATTTGACTCCAGAAACAATCGTCCTATTCCTCCAGCCAAAACAGGCGTACAAGTATCTGAGAAAAAGAAGTGAGTTGCTGGTGGCGTAACGGTTACGAGTAGGGCTTATGTCTGGATGGGGACAGTTCGAAAGGCTGGGCTTTCTACCCCTGAAAAAAGTTACTGTCTCAGAAATCCACACGAGGTCAATATGAGTCAGCATCGACTCCCTCCGTGGCACTGAGTTTTGGGGTTGGTTTGTTGTTGTTGCTTTGTTATGTTTTGTTTCTCAGTGTAGGAAATCCCGCAACTCGCAGGAACCCATCCTAGCACTATACTAGAAATGAGCTCTGGCAACAGTCAGGAGAGAAGAACCTGCCTATTCTTTCCCTAACTGAAAATAAAGGACGTTCTGGACTTGAAATGGTGCGAGGCTTGTAATTATGCTTGCTTTCCTTCTCCATGCACTACTCGGTGGCTGCACTTGTTGCTGCTTTAGAAATCTTATACTTTAAGGTAGTGATTCCAACCTGTGGGTCGCGACCCCTTTGGGGCTCGAAGACCCTTTCACAGGGGTCGCCTAAGACCATTGGAAAACCAAGACACCGCTCCTCTATCCATCTCCAGACCGGTCCACCCACATGCAGATACGCACACATATAAGTACCAGCGTGGACTGTTACCCATGCTACACCATGCTTCAAGACAAAATTTCATTTATTTGTAATTAGAAATAAATATTTCAAAATATATAATTAGATATTGTTTTTGTGATGAATCACTATGTTTGTACCAATGAAAATACATCCTGCATATCAGATATTTACATGACAATTCATAATTGTCAAAACGAAATAATTTTATGGCTAGGGGTCACCACAACACGAAGAATTATATTAAAGGGTCGCAGCATTAGGAAGGTTGAGAACCACTGCTTTAAGGCATATCTGCCTGAATAATTCACTGCCATTTCAGACGAGAAACAGGCTTCTTAAAATTTTGCTTTTAAACACTTCATCCTTGTTTCAAACTCTGAGTCAGGCCTCCCTTCTGACTCCAAGTTTGATAAATGACACTGCGTACTCCCAGCACACCACCCACCTTGAGTGGGTCCTATTTGTTCTATTTCATCCTACCCAGATAGCCTATACATTGGTTTTTCTCCAGAGAAGCAAAGCCCTCAGAGATTGGACTACATATATCTAATCACAATAGATTGGACTCATAGCAACCTCATGTGTGTCAAAATAGAACTGTGATTCCCAGGGTTTTCAGTGGTTGATATTTTTTAGCAGTAGATTTCTAGGCCTTTCATCCAAGACACCTCTGGGTGGTCACAAACAGCCAACCTTTTGATTAGCAGTGGAGGTCATTAACCACTTAGGCCACACAGAGACTTCATACGGACTATAAAAACAAAACCACGCATGGCTTTTGAGTCTTTTACAACTCATAGTGATCCTGTAAAACAAAGTAAAACTGTCCCACAGGTTTCCTAAGGCTAGAAAAACATATGGAAGAGACTGCCAATTTTCTTCCCGAAAGAGTGGCTGGGGGTTCAAACCTTTTGGTTAGCAGCAGCCAGCACTTCAGAACTGCTACGCCAGGTCTCCTGTACAAACGATAAGCTGTTGAATTCTCCAGTGTGACAGGAGTCCCCTTGTATAGGGTGACAGGTTTGAGGAGAGCATTTACTCTGAAGATTCTATACTAAGTGTAAAAAAAGTAGTCCCGGACAGGGAGTCAACATCCTTGCCTAGTTTTCAAATTCAAGATTATTCAGATTCAGGGACCATATCTGTCCTTGGTTCAGTATCCAAAGAACAGAGACTCTTCTGTGTTAGCAAGATAAAAAGAGGCCTGCCCAGAAGTACCCAGCCCTGGACACAGTGCTTCATTGTGCTCAACTGTGCTAAGACAGAGAGAGCCAGTACTGCTCATTCACAGACACACTGTATTGAGACAGCACACCTTCCCCAATGCCTTAACAATTTTAACACCTGGATACCCTGTTGGCAGTGTTATTTGAATATCTACTCATATATGAACAAGCCTATTTCTACCTTCTAGCGATTATGAATATTGTTGCAATGAAACGGTGTACAAATAACTTGGTGCTTCTGCTTTCCATTCTTTGGTGTGTACATATAATAGTGAAATTTCTGTATCATATGAAAATTCTATGATATATGTTTTGAGGAACTGAAAAAACATTTAACACAGAAGCTATACCGTTCTACATTCTCAGGAGCAATGGATGAGGGTTAGAAATAAATCTTTTTGTCTCAGTGTTCGCTTTTAATTTTAAAACTGAATCTTCTACCTCTTTATGCTATTCAAATATAACTAAGTTTTTGTGGACCTCTGGGATCTGCATGTTGTTATGATCCTGAAGCAATGCCAGCAATATTAAAAATGCCAGTAGAATCACCCATGGTGGACAGGCTTCAGTGGAGCATCCTGACAAAAGCAGACTATGAAGAAAAGCCTGGGGGTCTAGTGCTGAGAATTAACCAATGAAGACCATATGAATCACAATAAAACACTGTCCAATATAGTGCTGGAAGGTGAGCATCTTAAGTTGGAAGACACTCGAAATATACAACGGCCCAAACAATCGACTCAACCATCCAGAAAATCATTTAAATGACATTAAAAGGGGCACCATTGCACTCCATTGTACATGAAGTCACCATGCGCCAGACCCCACTTGACAACAACTAGTAACAAAGGACTGAAAGACAGAGCACAGAACTATCATCATAATCCCAGGATCTAGTCGAAGGTGACCAGATGTTGACCGGGGGCTTTGGGGGGTAGGAGTTTCTTGATTACAAATTTGGTTTTCTTCTTCTTTTTTTTTTTTAAATCATTTTATTAGGGGCTCATACAACTCTCATCACAATCCATACACACATCAACTGTGTAAAGCGCACCTGTACATTCATTGCCCTCATCATTCTCAAAACATCCTCTCTCCACTTAAATCCCCGGCATTAGGTCTTAATTTTTCCCCTCCCTCCCCGCTCCCCCCTCCTGCATGAGCCCTTGATAGGTTTATAAATTGTTATTTTGTCATATCTTGCCCTGTCCGACGTCTCCCTTCACCCACTTTTCGGTTGCCCGTCCCCCAGGGAGGAGGTCACATATAGTTCCTTGTAATCGGTTCCCTCTTTCCTACCCACTCTCCCTCTACCCTCCCTGTTTCGCTACTCACACCACTAGTCCTGTAGGGCTCATCCGCCCTGGATTCCCTGGATTTCCAGTTCCTATCTGTACCAGTGTACATCCTCTGGTCTAGCCAGATTTGCCAGGTCGAATTCGAGTCATGGTAGTGGGAGCGGGGAGGAAACATTTAGTAACTAGAGGAAAGTTGTATTTTTCATCGTTGTTACATCGCACCCTGACTGGCTCATCTCCTCCCCGAGACCCCTCTGCAAGGGGATCTCCAGTGGCCTACTAATGGGCTTTGGGTCTCCACTCTGCACTCCCCCCATCATTCACTATGGTAAGATTTTTTGTTCTGATGATGCCTTATACCTGATCCCTTCGACACCTCGTGGTTGCATAGGCTGGTGTGCTTCTTCCATGTGGGCTTTGTTGCTTCTGAGCTTGATGGCCGCTTGATTAAAATTTGGTCTTCTTAAAACGCCGCGGGACATGGGACAAATTGCTTAAAAAGCGGGATGTCTGGTCACCTTAACCTGTACCAGGAACTAGCAACTTAATATGATAGTTGAGTCTGAAAAATGTTCTCCATTCTTCGAAGATACTCTTCATCTGAGAAAATTCTTTACAGGTATTTCTTCTAAAAGAAAAATGTAATTCTGGCCTGGAAAGCCATCCCATTCCTTCTTTAAAATTTGAAAAATGCTTTTGGTTCTCTGAGCGGCACCATGGCAGTCAGCAAGAACAAGCACCTTTCAAAAGGTGGCCAAAAAGGAGCTAAGAAGAAAGTGGTTGGTCCATTTCCTAAGAAAGATTGGTATGATGTGACAGGGCCAGCTATTTTCAATATAAGAAGTATTGGGAAAACACTAGTCACCAGGACTCAAGGAACCAGTATTGTATTGATGACCTCAAGGATCAAGTTTTTGAGGTGAGCCTTGCTGTTCTGCAGAACGACAAAGTTGCATTTAGAAAATCCAAGCTAATTACAGAGGACGTTCAGGGCAGAAACTGCTTGACTAACTTCCCTGGCATGGAT